CTGAACAGAAAATTTCAAAGATCAGCTCGAGAAGATAAATCCAAATATTACAACAAAATGTGTAAAGATCTGGAATCAGAAATCCGAAAAGGAAGAGCACACTTAGCATTTCTCAAGCTGGGGGAACTGAAAAAACAATTCAAGCCTCGACTTTTGTTATTGAAAGATTCTCTGGGAAAATTAGTGAATAATGTAGAAAGCATCAAGAGAAGATGGAAAGAATACACAGAGTCACTGTACCAAAAGGAAATGGTTCATGTTCAACCGTTTTAAGAGGTAGCATATGATCAAGAGCCAATGATACTGAAGGAGGAAGTCCAAGGTGCATTGAAGGAATTAGCAAAGAACAAGGTACCAGAAATTGATGGAATAAAAATTGAAATCCTTCAAGAAAGTGAAGGCAGCACAGGAGGCACTCACTCATCTATGCCAAGAAATTTGGAAGACAACTATCTTGCCGACTGATTGGAAGAGATCCATATTTGTGCCCATTCCAAAGAGAGTTGACACAATGGAATGCGGAAATCATTGGACAATCTCTTTGATATCCCATGAGAGTAAAGTTTTGCTAAAGGTAATTACAGAAATGGCTACAATCATACATTGACCGAGAACTTCCAGAGGTTCAAGCCAGATTCAGAAGAAGCAGTGGAAAGAGGGATATCATTTCTGATGTCCAATAGATTTTGGCTGAAAGCAGAGAATATCAGAAAGATGTTTACTTGTTCTTTATTGACTATGCAAAGGTTTTCAATTGTGTGGATCATGACAAGCTATGGACAACATTGTGAAGTATGAGTATTCTGGAACACTTAATTGTGTTCATGAGGAATTTGTACCTGGACCAAGAAGCAGTTGTTTGAACAAAACATGGGAACACTGAATGGTTTAAAATTAAAAAAGATGTGTGGATAAGGTGGGAGAGTGTGTGGGGTGGGAGGGGTGAATGGCTGCTTGGCTTGGCAGCATGAGTCAGCAGCTGCCAGTGAGGAAATTGCCCAGCCTCCTGGTGGACCCGGAGGAGGCAATGGTTTGCCGCCGTTGTCGAGACCCCATCAACGTGGAGGGTTTGATCTTTAGGAGACTAGAAGGCCAAATTCAGAATGGTGGCTCTAGGTGAAGGCTTTTTCTCTTTGCCAGTTCTGAGGAAAGGCCCTGGTCTGCTTTCAGTCTCTGTAGGCCCACCATTCCGTGGAGATCCATGAATCTTGCCATTAAAAATAAGAATTAATTTAGAAGACAATGTACCATATGTGTCTATGAGAAAAGCTTTAAAAGGGAAGAGACCTCATTTTGATGTATCACTGGTTTATTTAACTTGAAAATTTATGGATCTTGTTAGATTTGCTCCTGGGAGCGGTCTCAACTTAAACAAGGTTGCAACAAAACTGGGAGTGCGAAAACAGAGTCTATGACATCACCAATGTCTTAGATGGAATCGAGTTAGTTGAAAAAGAAATCTAAGAACCATATACAGTTGATAGGATCTGACCTTAGTGATTTTGGAGCAATACCCCAGCAAAAGAAACTACAGGAAGAACTTTCTGACTTATCAGCAATGGAAGATGCTTTGAATGAATTAATTAAAGATTGTGCTCAGCAGTTGTTTGAATTAACAGATGACGAAGGAAATGAAAGACTAGTGTATGTTACTTATCAAGATATTTATTCATAGCCTTCAAGCCTTACATGAGCAGATCATTATTACAGTTAAAGCTCCAACAGAAACCAGATTGGATGTACCCGCTCCCAGAGAAAATTCCATCACAGTACATATCAGGAGCACCATAAGGCCTACTGATGTTTGTTTATGTGAAGTAGAACAGGAAAATACAAGTAACAAAATAACTGAAGATGTAGGCACCTCTTTATCTGAAAGCAAGCCTCTAAAACACCCTAAGGAAGAAAAAAATCCTCCTCAGCAAAGTGAAGAATTGCTTAAAGTGAGCAACTACCTACCTACCTATAGCATTTGAGAACTCATGTATTAAGTTCTTTTGGAACATCCTGCATGGATGAATTTGTTATCAACTTGATTTTCAGAGCAATAAATCATTTGTGAAGTTCTCTTGTGCCCAGTTAGCAGCAGAGTTAGGGCCAGTACTATCTACAAGCAGTGTACTGCTTAAATTTCTGGATAATTATGGATGCAGCGTTCAAAAATAAGTCTTTTTATAATTATGTACTGTTTTTGTTAGTTAAACAGACACCTTGCCTACTGTCTAAACTTCATCACAAAGAGTATCACTAAAACGGATGGTCAGAACTGAAATGGATGCTCTTCGTGGGTACTTCCCTTTCCTTCAAAGATTATGTGTCATAAATTACAAATGAATTGCCTTTCACTGGTTTTTGTTTGCTTTGAAATGTTATAAATTGGATGTGTTTACACAAATGAATCTGAATGTGATGTCTGTATATATTTGTATAATGTTTTAGTTACTTATGGAAAATGTCTAAGTGAAAACTTTTCACCATTATACAGCAAAAACAATGTATATATATATAGAAAGTAACTGACAAATTCTCTATTCTCTGTGGTGTTTATAACTTATTAGAATCCTCTTAATGAGGGTGAGAAAAGAGTTGTTTTTTAATACTTATATATGTAGAAGTATCAAAAATGTGCTATAATTTAAAATTCATGGATTGAATTAAAGTATTTTAATATAGTTTTCAACTCTAAAATTGGGTTCGGATAACGTGATGTCAAGCTACTAATACAGTATTAGATGATGGCTTAATTCATTTTGAGACATAAATTCAATGAGGGTGGAAATTGGAAACTATTTAAAGTTCTTTGTGAGAAAACTCTGTAAAGTTTCTGTAAGCCTGCAACCTTGTTCTTCAGTTAAAGTGGTTTTACTGATAATGAGTTGTACCCTGCCCTGTGTCCAGCTCTAGTTCCATATTTCCAAGTACCTAGCCATTTCTACCTCATTGGGTAAGTCATTTACTACTCTATGCCTCAATTAACTCAATAGTTCACCATTAGACTGTGAGCTCCTTGAAGGACTTTCTCTTATTCTTTGTTATATTCCAGCACCTTGCACCATGCCTGGCACTTAAAAGGTGCCAAATAAATGTTTGAACAATGTTTTTTTAAAAAAAGGTGTGCAACAAAGTTGTATTCAGCAATGTAGATGTTGTAGTGTAGTGCCATTGAGTCGATTCCGACCCATAGCAACCCTGTGTAGGGTTTCCAAGGGGCAGCTGGTGAGCTTGAACAACTGACCTTACAGTTCAAACGACTTTGCAGTCTGACACATTAGTCCACAGCGTCACACCAGGATTCCAGCAATGTAGATAGAGGTATTTTATTTGGCATGTGTAGAGTTCATGCATTTCTGAATTTTATTCACTCTGAAATCCTTATTGAGAAGTTGCTATGTGCCTGAAATTTGTTCTACATGTTGGGAATGTAGCAGTGAAGTTCACAATAAGCTTATATCTCTTCTGGTGGGGTGGGGATCAGATAGCAAATAATGAGATAGATAACATGTTGAGTGGTAAGTGTGCTGAAGAAAATAAAACTGGGTAAGAGGACAAAAAATGAATAGCGTAGAGAAAGGGATTATGTGTTAAGGTGTGGGGTGGGGATCGTGGTGAATGCTATTAAATACAGGATCTTCAGGAAGCCTCACCATGTCTGTTTTGAGCAGACTTGAAGGAAGTGACAGAGAACACCCAGCGAGTATCAGGGGAAAGAGTATTCACAGCAGAGGAGAGCAATGGGTACAAAGACTCTGAGGTAGGGGCCGTATTTGCTTTGTTCCAGAAGCAGTGAGGAGGCCAGTGAGTCAGAGGCATGAATGTGAGTGCAAATGGCTGGAGATTAGGTCAAGAGGTAGTTGTTAGGCATCCAGGACTTTGAGGATAATTTTGAATGAGGTAGAAGATGGTTGGAGAGTTTGACATATCTAAGGTCTTTACTAGTTTCACTCTGACTGCTGTGTTTTATAGACCAGGCAGGATGGGGGTAGGTGAGAATAACGTGGTATAGGGACCAGTGCAAAAGTCAGAGGGAGAGATGATGATGGCAACGAGCAGTTTGAGAGATGTGGAGGTGGTTAGGTGATGAATATATTTCAAAGGATTTCCTGATAGAATGGGCACGTGGAGAGGAGGTGAGAAGGGAGAAGAATAAAGGATTTCACTTAAGTTCTTTTAGGTTAGTTGGGAGAATGGAGAAAACAAGTGGGAGTGAAGAGAACAGATTTCTGGGAGACAGACTAGAAATCAGAAGTCCTTATTTGGATATGTTAAATATGATACAACTAATTAAGTGGTGATATCAATGATACATTTGAATACATATGGGTATGGAGTTTAGGAAGGAAGTTGGGGCTGGAGATGCAAGTGTTGGCATCTTCAGGCATTTAAAGCTGTGTGACTTGAAATCAGCTAGGGAGTTACTATAGACAGAAGAGAGTAGAAGTCTAAAGACCGAGCCCCAGAGCAGTCCAGCATAAGAGATGACCTAGATGGGAGTCCTGGTGTGGTGCTGGAAGATAAGCACTTAAAAAAAAAAAAAAAGAAAAAACATTTTCTAATACTTAAACAGCAGAATATGGAATGGAAATATCCTCAGTCACTGCCCAAGAAGTTCAAAAGTCAACTATCAAGTGGAAAATTGATGCTTACAGCTTCTGGGATTCTGAAGGACCTGTATTGGAACACTATCCAGAAAAACATTCCACAATCAACAGTGCTCCTTATAATGAGATGCTTGCTGAAGAACTGAAGCCTATTCTTTGGATTAAACACAGAGGACTGCTATCCAAGGACTTAGTGATCTTGCATGACAATGCACATCCACACACCTCTGTCCACACTGTTGACACTCTGCAAAAACTTCTGTTTTGAGGTGTTAAAGCATTCTTCCTATAGTCCTGATCTTGCTCCATCAGGCTTTCACCTGTTTGATCCCCTGACAGCAGCCCTTGTAAGATGAAGATTCGCCTCTGATGAAGAAGTGAACAAGGTGGTACATTCGTGGCTTGCAGATCAGCTAAAACATTTTTTAATAAGAGAATGTGAAAGTTTGTGGGCAGATGAACAAAGTGTATTGAAAATAGAGGAGATTGTGTTGAAAAATTATGTAGCTGTCTTTTCTAAAAGTTGATTGAAATAAATTCGACAGCTAGAGTGCAGATACTTCTTGTCTGACCCTTAAACTTGTCTGAGACCATGCAATCAAAGCATCTGGTACAGGCTTATACATCATAGTTGTCATTGCTAAAAAGAGTAATTAAATGAAGGCAGTAATAGGTTACAAAAGTACTTGACTCTTAAAGAATAGGATATTTTAATTTTATTTTGAACATTTCCTCACTCTTATGGGTGCTGAAGATTTTTTTTAAATGTACATCAATGTAGTGCATGGAGTTTTGTTGTGGTACTGTGGGTTCTTGCACCAAACTGTAAAGTTGCTTTGAACCACAAGGTTGGCAGTTCAAGCTCACCAGCTGCTCCTCAGAAACCCTATACAGGGTCACTGTGGGCCGAAACCTACTCAGTGACACTTAACA